CGTTGCATACCGTATTATTCGACAATACGTTCCACTTTGATGTAATGGCATAGAAAAATACTAAAACACAAAACATTTTACATCAAATACATTTTCTCTAAAATAATGTAGTTTTTAAAGAAATACACAAAGAAAAATGTAGTAAATAGGTGCATACTGTACTTTGAAGGTCATGAGAAAGTTTCCGTTTTCCAGTAATAGAAGAATAAGGGTTGGGGGAGGGGGGAAGGGGGGGAGGTGATTACTTCCTACCGCGCCACGCCCTCGCCTGCAATCTCGGCAGCAGCTGGTATGCAATTGTTTACTCCTTCTGCCCTTCACCTTCGCAACACTCCCGGTGCGATTTCTGACGTCAGTGGCGCGTTATGATAAATGTGTGTTTTTTTTTAAAGGATAATATATATATATATATATATATATATATATATATATATATATATGTGTGTGTGTGTGTGTGTGTGTGTGTGTGTGTGTGTGTGTGTGTGTGTGTGTGTGTGTGTGTGTGTGTGTGTGTGTGTGTGTGTGCACATATATACATATATATACATACATACATACACATATAGAAATATAGATAGATATAGATATATTAATGCACACACACACACACATACACACACACACACACACACACACACACACCATTATATATTATATATATATATATATATATATAATATATATATATATATATATATATTATACGTACATATATATATACATATATATTGGTACTATTCATCACAAGTATATTCTTTTTATGAAATCGAAGATTTTCATGCTTAAACTCCTAAGAAATTCTAAATACAACACATTTTTTAATGATTTCTCACTCAAAGTGTTTTATTTTCTTTGACGGTCTTTATATGCATTGAGTTCGTGTAAGAATTCCGTCAGCATATTCATCATGAACATTGAAAAGGAAGAAAACTTTTTATTATATACTTTTATTAAGAGAGAGAGAGAGAAAGAGAGAAGTAGATAGATAGGTAGATAGAGACGTAGACAGGCAAGAAGAGAGAGAAAGCGAGAGAGGGAGAGGGAGAGAGAGAGTGTGTGTGTGTGTGCGCATATATGCATTTATACACCTGTATGTGCGTGTGTGTAGATAGAAAGATATATCTAGATATAGATATAGACAGAGGGTTAGATATGGTAGAAGAATCGACTAAAATAAGCTTATCTATAACTTCAACAAATAAGATTTTTTTCGTTATGTAGAAAAAAAAATGTCATATGCATATTTGAAATGTCATACGAATCAGACCTTGAACCCTTGTCACAGACACTTAAATATTTCATTTATTGGGAAATTGCAATATCCATGTTGATATCACAAAAATCATTAGCTCTCACAGGTTTGATGTCAAGAGCGATAATCCGAAATGGAATCAGATAAATAATGATAGCATTAAGTTGAAAAAATAATGGCGAGGTAAAAGTAATAAATTCACATTATTGGTACAGGTATTGTGATGGAATTAGGTAATAAACAACTGAAAAATAGTAAAATGTAATTCAAAGTTGGAAAAAACTGCTTATCTTCTTATTCAATTATTTTAATTATTTTACTCTCAAGGTCATTAGCATTAAATGTATGACCATACTGTTTGTTTTAATTTACGAAAACATTAGTATTTCTTAAGGATTAGCTACTTTTTTTCTTATTACAGATAAAGGAAATATCGCTATTGCTGACGTTCCATAACAATTACTACAGGATCAGAATCACCAAAATTACAAGTATAATTTATCGTCCTTATAAATGGGCCAAAATTAGGCTCAATATAACCAAGCGATATCTCACTAATTCCCCTCCGTTAGTGCTGACTCAAAACACCAATTCACCTTCCTCATTCAGCCCCTCTTACCCCTTCGCCTATACACCCCCCTCCAACCTCACCCCCAACTCCACCTTCTATCCTTATCCTTATCTCCACTCTTACTTCCACCTCCCACCACCACCACCCCACCTCCACCTCCACCCCAACCCCCCACCTCCACCCCAAACCCCACCCTACCTCCACCCCAACCCCACCTACCCACCCCCACCCCACCCTACCTCCACCCCAACCCCACCCTACCTCCACCCCAACCCCACCCCTACCTCCACCCCCAACCCCACCCTACCTCCACCCCCAACCCCACCTACCTCACCCCAACCCCACCCCTACCTCCACCCAACCCCACCCCTACCTCCACCCCAACCCCAACCCCTACCTCCACCCCCACCCCCTACTCCACCCAACCCACCCTACCCTCCCTACCTCCACCCCACCTCCACCTTAACCGCCCTCCACCCCTCCACCTCCCACCTCCATCCCACCTCCACCTCCACCTTCCACCCAACCTCACCCATCCCACTTCACTCCCACCTCCCTCACCTCTACCACCACCTCCACCTCCACCCCCAGCCCGCCACCCCCTTCTGTATAACTAACATGACTCAGCAAGTGTGGATCAAAAGCGAGAGTGAAGTTGAAAATGGCAGCTATTTAAC